CACTCTGTATATCCGTGCCTTTGCTTCCAAGGCTCAGGACTCCTGTGCATCAGCTGAGCAGGCAGCAGCCCTCTCCTACAAGCACACATTCTGAAAGCCTGACTCACATGCTACTTAAGATTTTTCATTCAGCCTATTGAATACAATTAAGTTAATTGAAACTGAAATTTTGGGCAGTGCAAAACCCACTGTTGGAACAAATATCCCATGTACCAAAAATCTGCAATTTATTAAATTAAGCACTTCCCTTAGAGACTGCCTTCTTTCCTGTGAGTACAACAGAACACTGCTTGTGCCACATTACACCCAAGAATAAAACAAGCAGGAAGCATGAAAGGGTTTCATGCAGTAAGAGAGAGTTCTCTACGAGGGTAAAAACCAACAAAAAATTCCCTCCCAAAACCAAACCAGAAGCCTTGCTAATTGAAAATCTGTGCACAATGGGGCAGACACCATAGCGATGAATGCAGCATGACTGTCTCACTAGATACCAGGCAGAGAATTAAAGCTGCTTGTGTTCCTCTCGTGTGAGTTAAAGAGAAAATTATTTGCAAAAGGAATTCTGTCCAGGATTTGGCTCACAAGCAAATAGAGGTGGAAGAGTTAACTATTTCAACAAACCATATTTCTGATCTTAATGCCTCTTAGAGAACTCTTTTCTGAACCCACTTCAGTTTGGGGAATTTTGCCAAAGAAAGCAGAATTAGACATAAATGAGGAGTCACCGCCCACCTCCCTCCTTGCCTGCCTCCATAGCCTTTATTTGGAGCTTCCTTACTAGCCACATTCCTGCTCTGAGAGTCCTCAACCCTTCTTTAGGTGACTGCTGACACCTTTGCATGCCACAGAAGTGTTATTTCCCTCTTTCTTATTGCAGAATCCTGGACTTGCTTGCAGTTGCACCAGAAGTTGGGGCCTCATCCAGCATCAATCCTATGTTTCCCTATGCTTCAACTCACTTCTGCAGCCAAGGGGCAACCAAATCCCTTGAAAAAGAAGGATCAGTTTAGTTCATTTCTTCATAAATTTCACTACCTCTGAGGCTGGTGGAGTTTTCTCCTCCGTGGGCTGTTACTTCCTTTAATCCAAAAAGACGCAGTTGGCACCAGCTGAGCTGGGTAAGCGCTGCTTTCCCATCTGTGGGCTGGGAAGCCAATGCTCTCACACAGAGCTACTCAGGGCAGCAGGAAGGGAGCAGTGCTCTTTGGGAAGAAAGTTACAAGCAGCCTGAACATGCCGGGTGTTTTTACCCAGCTCTCTTTGTATCTGGCACCACAATGGTTTCATTTACAACGCCTCAGGTTCAGGGATATTTTCAGTTTTGGAGGCTGTTCAGGGAAACAAGCACTGGCCACTCGCCCAAACATTTTACTGGTTTTGGCTATTATGTCAAAACATTGGCAAAAAAGGATACTTAAAAAAAAAAGAGGAAGATATAAACAGAAATACTCCTTCAGTCTATAGGGCTTGCAGTCCACTGGGCACTCCCAAGGAGGGAAGTGCCCATTGATCCAGTGATTGAGACTGTCTGGACTCTTACAAAGAGCCTCATAAACTGTCCTGACTGCAACTCCATGAGCCTGCAGCAAAGAGGGATGCTGAACAAATGGAGAGAGGAGGAAGAGTATGTTAATTTTCCTTATGCAGAACAGGATTCAAATGACCTATTTTTCAGCTTGGATTTTTGAAAAGCACAGATCACTTCAGCAACTCCAGATTTGCTAAAAAAACTTTTCAGAGGAGTACAAGGTAAATCCAAGAGAGCATTTTCATGCATTTCCTTTAAAATACTTTTCTTAGTCCTATTTTTTCTGTAACCACCCCTACCTAACCATTTATCAAAACACTACAACCTGTAATAAGTAAGCTCTGGTTCTTACAAATTTTTGTTTGCAATCTGAATGCTGTATTAGTAGACATCATACTGCAAGAGGGATATAGTACAAGGACACTGCCCTGCAGAGAGCCTAAGAGGGTGTTATTCCAACAGACACCATTCTTATCATCGCTGAGCAGGTTGTAGGCAACACCACCTCAGACAAACATGGTAGTGTGCACCACCATTTCAAATATTTTGAAGGTTGTGCAGGAATTTCTTACTCATTGGAAAGTGTCATTAAAACCACCTTCAATAACTATATTGTCTCTGTGGGTGTGCTTCTACCTGTCCCCTATGCTAAATAAATAGGCATTTAGATTCCACAGTAGCATGAGTCAAAATTACGACACTGAATCTCTAAAGATAAAATAAGAAGAGGCAGAGATTAGCCCTGGACACTTACTAAAAATCAGGTGTATACACTTTGAGGGTCCTTCACACCCAGTTTCAAATAAATAGGAAAATGTTCACTTTGGAACTTTCTGTTTGAAAGAAACCCTCTTCATGGCTAACACGGCCTGGGCCAGCTCCTAGTCAAGCACCCCATGCAGCTCTCCTGTGCACACAGCAGGTACTAAACTGCCTGATGTTCAGTCCCCATCTCAGAGTGGGACCTCAGTGGGAGCACTGTGCCCCAGGAAATGCACAGAACTTGTCACAGAGCCTGAAGAGCTTTGTTTCCTTGTGTGCAGAGCACCTGGCCACAGGTATAAGCTGATATGTGGTGTAGTCTTCAGTTATATATTTCCATCTTGAAGAGAAAGATTCGGATGTTTCACGAACCATACAATTGGCTCTCTCTTTCTTCTGATCCTCCTCACGTTCTCCTTCCCACACACACGTGCATACATACAAGTGTCAGCCATTTGTTCCGATGGATTTAGCCTAGTTTGGATCAAAGCGTCCTCTACTTCATTTAACAGATTTGCTCAGATGGAAGGTCTCAGGGGAGAAATAATGTTAGTAAGAGGGGGCTTTTCAGCATTGAGTATGTAGGTCATTGGACTTTAAAATAAATTAGAGAATAGTTTATCTATTAAACAAGCCTCACAGTACATATTTCATGAAGCTATACTTAATTATAGGCTAATGTGCACCACAGAGCTACCACGAAGAGAGATTAAGCAGTGGCCCATAATGTGGTGATTAATACAATTATTAGCTGGCTGGCATACAGCATCTATTATTTGGTACCATCACGAGAAACAACAGACCTCCAGTTCCTAATGCTGGCACTTCTGTGAAATGCAACAAACCCAAACATTTCCAGGGAGAAACACACACCTCCCTGTACCTCGCAGGCAGCAGGAGGGATGCAGGAAGGTGAGAGCAGACTTGAACTTCCACTTCAAGTGCATTTTACAGAGTTTGCTTCTCCACCATGGATGCGTGGGAATATCCCACACCTTCTATGCTGCAGTGCAACACTGATTGTCTGAGCACCTCTTCTTAATACCCTGAACAGCCCCTGATGTGAGGGGAGCTTGTTCTGAGTTGGAATTAAAAACTGTGGACAAGGAAACATAAGCTAGTATGTTTCTTGCTACAGTGGTGGCTGCTAAGGACATGATGAACTCACTGTATGTAAGATCATTGGTCTTCTATATTAAAGCCCTGTAGACTAACGAAACACAGTTGTGAGATGAGCAAATCTTTTATGATGCTGTAAGACTTGCCTACTCTGGAATCAGTGTCGTGAACCGTTCAGTACATCATATTACTTACGACTGAGGGCTAAGAAGCAGGTAATTTCTTTCTTGTTGGGGAATGAGCTTTTGGTTTAATAGCAGACTTGGGCATTACCAACCTGGCTCTCCCAGTCTGAGTGAAGGAGAGCTTCATGTTCAGTGACAGTGGCAAAACCCTCAACGGCAATGTTACTGTTGACCTCTCACTCAAGTTCAGAATATGTCATTCTGTCAATACCATCTACCTTGATTATACCAGGCTTTATATACAATGGGTTATGATCCCAGAGGGATGAAAAGCTTTTCCAAATTAAAAGCAGCATTTTAAAGAGGAAATACTCATACATTCCTATGTAGTTTTCATTTGATATCCTCAAGGCTAACCCCAGAACTCAAAGTCACGTTGATTGGAAGTGAATGTTTTTTCTGACTGCAGCCATCTTATGAATTTAATGGAAGAAGGGAAGTCATAAAATGTGCTCCATACTTTAATTAGTTCCCTCATAACATGGCATTTCCAAAATGGCAGTGCCAAAGAAAATCATTAATCTAGCAGAACAGACAAAGGCACTGTATGGGGCAAGGGACAGACCTCCAAGAGACACACACACAACACTTTTTTTTTCTTGCTGGTAATTCTTACCTCAAAGAACAACTCCAACTAAACAAAAGAAATTTGTACCAACATTAAATATTAAGCCACTTTCCATTTCTTAAGCCTTGCTACAGAGTATCACAACTGAGAGATCATGTGTTGTATGCCTTGAACAGCAGCAGGATAAATGTAAATGGCCTGTCTTTCTGAACACACACCCTGGGTACTCCAGATGCCAGGCTTAAGCTCATGTTATCATGCAATCACTTCAGCATCTGCATTTCACTAGGCAAGTGAGAAAACCTGTGTCAGATGCATGGAAGCAAACACAATCCGCTACAAATGGCAGATACCTTTCCCAGCAGTCAGTCTTTAGGCCTGTGCACACTTGCCTTACACGCTTCTTACGGGAGCAGCCTCTGGCACTAGTTGTGGCATCAGTTGTACCACAGGAAGGAATCGAGGAAGTGACAGAAGCCCAAAGACACCTCTGACTCTCAGAGTCTCTTGTTACCTCTTCCTGACCATCAGGTAGGGGCAGATGTGGAAGTTTATAACCGCAGAGAGGAACTCGGGGAAGAACTCACATGAGCGGAATGACTGCTAGAGAACAAAGCTCAGGTAACAGCACAGGAGTGGCCAAACGCAAACAAACAGCTGTTCCAGGAAGAAACAGCCTTGTTCGATACCGACAAAGAGACTGGGGGAAAAAAAGGAGAGTGGTTTGATCTGTTTCTACGGCACAACCCCTGCCTTGATCTGCAACAACCATACAGCCCCACAAGAGCCACAATTTTGCCCCTTCAGCACTTCTTGGTTATAGAATAGAAATTGATACCTGTGTGCGGTTGAATGCTACTCTTGCAAAGACAGCTTGAGACACACTGGCTCTCTTCAGCTCATCTCTGACTTGCTGGTAAATATCTGGAGAGACTTCCACCGATGAATTTGATGGCTCTGGTTTGACAGCTCTAGGGATGGGCGGATGATTCAAGAACTGCTGGTTGATAGCCTGTGGGTGCTGGTGAGCCAACAGCCGGCTGACAGCAATCTGTTGGTTTATCAGATGGGCCATTGCTATCTGCTGCCTCACCAGTTGTGGACTGAGCTGAGGAGACAGGAGCCCAGGATTTATCATTGTTTGCATCGTTGGCACTTGGTTTCGTATTGGAGTACTGTGGTGAATTTGGCCATGAGGAGACTGTTCGTTAGTTTTTCCCAAAGTTGCCAGCTGGTTGATATTTGGTAAGTGCATGGGACGTTGACCAAGAACACAATAGTCTGAAAGGTTTTCTCTTTCCACTCTTTCCACTGTTAAAAGAGAAAAATTTGCTTGCTGTCATTTCAGTTTGCACTTAGGGCAAGGATTATTGCAGGTGACTACACAACAGCACCTGCTTTACTTTGTAAGTCTACACTTGCATAGAAGTTTCACAGAAACATAAGCAAAAGCAACACAAAGTAAAAGTCACAACATTAATTAACATTCTTTTGGACTTCTCAGGCTTCATCCACTCCTCAGGAAGCCTCCTTTTAAATCAGTAGCAGGTATCCTCTCCAGCCTCATTTCCTAAAGAAGCAAGCTTGGACGCTTCCACGGATACTGTCACTAACATTTGAATCTGTCACAGAAAATTGAGTAACTTTTAAAAGTGATCAATGTTTCAGAATCACTGGCATCTAGGTAAAGGAAAGAAACTCAAATTAGCATCCACTCACACAAACCCCATGGAAACTGGACCATTCCCTGAGCAGACCATGGAACAGCTTCTCATTATAAACTCTGCAACTATTATCTTTTCCAACAAAAACTTGACGTTGCACTGTGTGTGGATAAAGCTATCTGGTAGCCTCAGTTCACCCAGGTGCACTACATCAGACTCATGTTGATTAGGTGAAAGCATATTACAAAACCATGCAATTCACACATGAGAAATATCTAAAGCAATGGTTCCTAGAGCCAAAGCTTCATCACTGTGAGTCTGTCCAGAAACCTTAAAGCACCTCTGCATGAATGCCCACTTAAGAGGAAGTGGCTTCACTCTCTTCAAAAAAACTTTGTTTAGCACAACAGAGACCTGCGATCCCTAAGTGGCACAATGATAAAAAAAATGAAACAGTACACACAAAATGCATATACTGTAATTTTATATACTGATATGTATTGTCTCTGCTAAATGTGTTATGTCCACAATATCACAGTATCTTTTCATGTTACTGCAAAACTAAATGCGCATATTACAAACACAAATTTCCTCTAGAAGTACTATTTTTGTAAAGTACATAACTCCTACTTAGAAAATTTTAAGTAATCAGAAGTCATTTTACAGTTGGTTGCAGATTCCATGAGCCTTACTGCATGCAATTGGATAGGCACTTACATATTGATATGATATAAAAGTGTTCAGGGATGTATATCATACAACTAGAAAACAGCTACCTCATCTCTGTATTGCTCTCAGCAAATAATAAGATAGGATTTTCTTCCATAAATGCCATAATACTATTATGACTTGTGTAATTATTAACAACTGTACCAAGCTTTGAACCCTTTTAAAAAACTTAATCTATATAAAGCTTTGAAGCTTTACACAGGTAATACTGAGAACAACAGTTTACTGATGACTTGCTCTGTTTCCTTCTAAATAGAAAGACAGCTCTTTTCACGATCCAGAGTTAATCTGAGACAGAGAGGGAGTAATGCCTTGAACACACACAAACACACAGTTACTATCTTTAGAACTGTCACTCCGGAACATCACAAGTACTGAATTTTACAACTAGGTGAATTATGCCCAGGATTTCCTTGTAAGAAATTTTAGCTCACTCGTCTCATTCTGTTAAAGGAAAACCCCATAACATCTTTAATCTTCTATAAAATAATTGCTTTTAAAAAACTTCTAAAATAAAAATTAATTTGCAAGAAAACTATTAATTCAATTTTTTCACAAAAGCCAATGCTTCAAGCTGACTAAATTTCTAAGTGCGTGTTTACTTGTGCAGTGTATTTCAACTATGAAATGCAATGCAATACGTGTGATACACAAACACTATAGTCAGCAAATGACTATTTTGCTGTGTTACTCACAGGCTGTCAGATACATAATGCAGTATTTCAGTTTGCTGAAAATACTGAAAATCCCTATTCAGAAACTGCTCCTCTCGATATTCTGTAGGCATCCCTGCAATCAGGTACAGAAAGCTCTACACCTCTAGTCTCTGGCATCAGGAACAGACATGAACTCAATGTCAAGTATGAAATACAAGCAGTGCTAATTCCTGGGATCGTCATTGACCCGGCGTCGATACAGAGATGTCACGTGTGGGCAGGGGAGTGGGGAAGAGGGCTGCTTTTTCACAGCCCCACACCACGTTCTGTGACATGGACAACTCAGAACCCACATGGCCATACTATTGCCTCCTCAGCCTGTAGTAAGCCTGCACCTGAGTAATGCCATTACATACACACAGTTGCCAGCAAAACCAAATGTAACTATTCCAAAGGTGTACTTGGCAGGTGTAAGTACAATAAAGATGTTGCTCAGTGTACATGAAATAGTTGGAGCACCATGCTATATCACTTACACCTCTAGAAATCTAGAGTCCTTCCGCTAGGAGTTTTAGAAGAGCTGAAATAAATTCTGAACTATTTGTAGTTGAAGAAGCACACAGAGGACAAGTTACCGAAACCAACAAATTACTACTTGTTAGAACACAAAAACAGTAACCAAGTGTTTTTGAAAACTTGGTGAGAAATAAATATAAATAACATTCACTTTCTGGGCTGAACCATATTTGCCAAGTTTCCACCCACTCCTGACTTCAGTGCCAAGTTATAAACCCCTAAAAAATAAAGTTTAAGATGAAAAGGCTGCCAGGCTGTTAATCTCTGAAGTGCTACTTGGAATTACACAGAGACATCACCTGACTTGCTTCCATTTTTCCCTTATTATCAGTTTCCTTTTTCGATCACATTAGACTATGCAGCCATGCATGTACTCCCTATAAACAAACCAGATTCTAGTCACTCCAACCACTTCAATAATAAAAGGTTACCATTAGCAGTTACGCTGGATGGAAAAAATGTGCATTACTCAATTCCTCAAGACTCTTTCCTTCTCTAACGCATTGCCCATATCTGATTCCCTGTTGTTCTTTGGTAACTATGGATTGGTAGGGTTCTACAGAGCTGAACAGGAGCAAGACTGAGACAACCTCAAGATGGAGACTGGCACTGTCCTGTGAGACAGGCCAGCTTGACAGCAATGCTCTAAGAAAAACGGGATGTAGGAGCCGCAAAGCTGCTGTGACACCAACATTCTGCCTCAGATCTTCGTGAGACAGGACTTTTCCATTTGCATCCTCCATTTTCCAATTCATACCTGATTAGAGCCTTTTCCTTCCCTTGTTTACTATTGTTCCACTTAAACTAGGGATATATTTATAGCTCTTGTAGTCCTGCATGAACTGGCTGGTACTTGAATATATTGATTGGAATATAAAGCAGTGAGAACAGACCAGAAGGACCTTAAACTGGGAAGGAAGGGGTTCCATGGATGTCTACATTCAAGTACTGCTGATAAACTACTTCTGCTAGTGATGCCTGTGCTAGTTAAACAAAAGCTGGTTCAGGAGGCTGTTACCTACCTCCATCTGTGGTGTGACCACAGCAAAAGACATTGCAGTGTTTTCTCATTGCATCGCATGCTTGGTATACAGTTCTGCAGTTCTTTGCTTGAAGAGCTCATGTACACCAAGTACAACAGTACTGTCATATTGCAGTGCTCCCCACCCTTCTGAAGCAAATCATTGGGTAGGCAGAGACCTGTGTCTGAATAACAGGTACTGTGCTAAGCCCAGCAATCAGCTCCCAGAGCACCCCAGGATAGCATCTGCCCTTCATTTTTCTATACCTCCCTGCAACGTCACTACCTCTACAAGACAGTCAGAAACCAACATAATCCCCAGAATGGGAGCAGCAAATTGTTGTATTTCAATGTTCCGTTCTGGTCCTGTAATGATTACCATGTGCGTCAATGTATTTCAACTCCATACTGAGTTAAAACTTCCTGAATACAGCACAAAAGGAATTCAGTGCACCCTTCCCCTGTGTGATGCTCTTAACCTCTACCCCAATCTTCCTTGCATAGTCAAGCAGCTGACGCAGTCCACAGCACAATAGCTTGGGGTGGTCTGCATGCAACTTTCCATTTAAAATAAAACCAGCTCAAAAGATTTAAAATAAGATTTATTTCTCCACCTTCCCTTCCCCTCACACTTTATTTGCACTGAGTTGTTAATAGGAACATTCTGACAAACAGCCCGTGGGGCATTTAGGGCTTAAGAGTGGCACTGAATTGACTGACAGCACTGGAAACCAAATTCCTGTGCACAATAAGGGATGCAGCAGGGAGAGCAAGAGCGTAACGTGTCTCCCAGCACCGCACTGCAGCGGGGACACAGAGGACCCGCCAGCGTTCATGACCCAGCACGGCCGGAACTTTTCAGTCCTGCAGGCATACAGGCACTTTGCCCCAGAGTAGGAAGAAGCTGGTAAAGAAACGTTTTGTAATAAGTTACTAGCCGGCAGAATTGCCATGCCTCAATTGTGACAGAATGTCACCACCCAGGGCTGTTCTCCAGTGCTTCAGAGTTTGCTTCTTTGTTTTATTTATTATTTAAAACCTGGTGATCATAAAAGCCATTTCTAGCAGTGGTCATGGCTGAGCTGGGAGAGCTCTGTGAACTCTGGTATACCCTACCAAGTCTGAGACAAAAAGGTTCTCACAATTTCTTCTGGCTTAGCATCATCCTGCTCACTGGAGCAAGACCTGGACTTTGGAGCCGTGCTTGGGGGGCGAAGCGTTCTCCAGCACAGTACCACCCTCTGCCTTGGAGAGACAGGGCTGTGCACTATACCCAGAGGGTGCCCTCTTGCTTATGCTACACAATAATGAACTACCACTTTGTAAATAACAGAAACACTCCAGAGCACAGGAGGTGCTTTTAAAGTCGTAATTCTGTATCTTTTCATCTATAATTAGGATAATTACTTATTTCTTTTAATCACAGCTCACTTAACCACTTCAGTGCAGAGGGCTGGTCTGAGGAGTCTCATTTTCATTCAACATCTAATCTTCATATTTAGCCGAAGTCATTCACTGACTTCACTGCCTGATCCCTGCCCGGGCCATTTGTTCCTGCAGTCAAAACTGGAGAAAAAGCAGGTTGACGGGAGAGGCAGACTTGACAAGAAGTTGTAACTTTTAAAACCTTTCCCTTCCTCTGCTCCTGAGGGATAGCACATAACC